AAGAAGATGAAGATCCCATCAAAGCAAAGAACTGGGTAGAGATTGAATATTCAGCAACAAAGTCGAGAGCAGACGACATCGTGAACCCTCGTGATATTGATAATTCCGACGACGACGACGACGAGTATTTTCTTGGATTCGAATTTCCACAAGAGGAACACATCGAGGAATACGTACCAATCGAAGGAGAGAGACGATTACCTGGAAGACCACGCCTTGTCAGAACTGGACTTCGAGGTCGACCGAGAAAAGTACACAGAACTTTCCATATCGAGGGATCATCGGAAAATTATCCTGAATTTGTAAATATAGCCGAGGAAATTTCAATGAAGGATGCCTTAAGTGGTAGTGACGCTGACGACTGGAATTGTGCTATTCAAGAAGAGTTCGAATCTTTGATCAAGAATCGCACCTGGGATCTAGTGAATCGTCCTGACAACTGCTCCACCGTCGGCAACAGACTCGTGCTTAGAAACAAATTTAACGCTGAAGGTAATCTGGAAAAACGTAAAGCTCGCCTTGTAGCTCAAGGTTACTCCCAACGTCCCGGAATCGATTTCAATGAAACGTTTGCCCCAGTGGTCAGACTTGGATCAGTGAGAATATTGATGGCTCTTGCTGTTGAACATGACCTAGTCATACATCAATTGGACGTTACCACAGCGTTTCTGAATGGTCACCTGGAGGAGAACGTCTACATGGAAGTGCCAAGACTGCTGGAAGAGATGCTACCCGTGATCATCAGAAAGGAAAAATTGCGATCAAGTCGAGAAGATGCTGCAGGAACAGCCCGAATAATGTTGGAGAAAATACACAAAGGTAATCAAGTTTGTTTATTAAGAAAATCCATCTACGGTCTGAAGCAGGCTGGACGACAGTGGTACAGAAGACTCGACGCTGAACTACGAATCCTAGGATTGACACCATTGGATGCTGACGTTTGTGTTTACATCAAGAAAATTAATCAGAACATTTTAATTGTAGCAATTTACGTGGATGACTTTTTTATAATGTCAAACGATCTCACCTGCATATCGGAATTCAAGGAATCTTTTGGACAAAAATTCGAAACCAAGGACCTGGGGAAAATTAAAAATTGTTTAGGAATGGAATTCCACCAAGGTGATGGATTTTTGGAAATGTCCCAATCAGGATATATCGAAACCGTGCTGAAGAGATTCGGAATGGAGAATTCAAGGCCAGTATCCACTCCACTAGATCCAGGATTGAAGCTGAGGAAAATCGACGAATCTGAAACCGAAGGAACCGAAATCTTCCCCTTCAGAGAGCTCATAGGGTGCCTGATGTACCTCGCCATCGGAACGAGACCAGACATAGCCTACGCGGTGAATCACCTGAGTCAATTTAACAACTCCAATGGCAAGGATCACTGGATGGCTGCCAAGCGGATTTTGAGATACCTGAGGGGTTCGACGAAACTTGGATTAAGGTATGAAAAGAGTACTAAATTAATCGAAGGCTTTGTAGATTCAGATTGGGCAGGGTGTCCTGTCGACCGAAGATCCTACACCGGATTCGTCTTCATAATGGCAAAAGGTGCCGTGACCTGGGAAGCCAGGAAACAGCGTACGGTGGCACAGTCGAGCACAGAAGCCGAATACATGGGGCTGACGGAAGCTGCGAAGGAAGCTGCCTCTCTCTTAAGATTTCTAGTCGAAATTGGAATGGGAAATCAAAACACCATCCCGATATACAACGACAACCAAGGAGCACAAAAATTGGCCATGAACCCGATATTTCATTCGAGAAGCAAACACATCGAGATTCGCCATCACTATGTGAGACAAGCTTTGAAGGAAGGCAAAATATCCGTGAGTTACGTTCCGACGAATGACATGATGGCAGACGTTTTTACGAAAGGACTTTCTGCCCCGAAACATCAAAAGTGTTTGTCTAAGTTTGGAATGAGTTCTTTATAAAAGGGCAATAAGTGTTTAAATTCAACGCAAATAAAAAACCTAAAGTAAATAGTTATAAAAAAAAAGAAAACTATATACGTGAACAAAAAAATATATGTCAATATAAAATTTGAATAAATAAAATAAAGTGTGATGTGAAGTGAAAAACAAAATAGAACAAACTTTAAATAATGACTTTAAGACATGATCTTGCTTGAGGGGAAGTATTAAATATACACAATAAAATTACACAAGCTACGCCCCTGTCTATGCATTTATACCGCGCATGATCGAGAGCTACGCTCTACCACTCTTGCTCAGTACAATCTTGTTATCCAACTCGTTCACATCGATCTCCAATAAATTGTCTAATTCTCAATCCCGTAGTATTTCAATATCGACCTTAACCTCTGAATCCAACATTTATAAATTTATTTTAATATATTTATTAAAATACCTAAATAAATATTATTTTGTATTTTATATTTTTTACAAAAGTATTTTTTTATTTTATATTTTTTAAATTATTTTTTTTTATAAATTTATTAATTTATTATAATTTATTTCTTTAAATAAATAAATATTATTTTGTATTTTATATTTTTTTACAAAAGTATTTTTCTTACTTTATGTATTTTAAATTATTTTTTTATTTTAATACATTTTTTTTCTTCTCTCTATATATTACAATTTTTTTTATGAAAAAATGATCGTTTGAAGTATTTATGAATATTTTGACAGAAATTCTTTTTCTCCCATTTTGTTTTTATCCGATAAGCTGTCATCATTTTACAAACGTAGAGTGAGAGACAGAGAATTAGCAAAAGAGCAAAAAGAAAAAAAATTGCTAACCTTAAAAATCTCATTTCAAACTTTTCTAGAAAACTTTTCAAATATTTTTCACTTGTCAGAATAATTTTACTTTCATAAAACTTTTTCTTCTTTGCAAAAAAAAAAAATTATTTTATTTTTTCAGCAAATATTTCAACAGCACAGAAATATACTATTTTTATTATTATTATTAATATTAAAATTAACAATAATTAAAATTAATTAAAAATTAAATTAAAAAAAATAAATAAAAAATAAAACTTTGTTAAAAAAAGTAAAATTAAATTCAACAAAAATAAAAATTATAAACAATTAAAATTAATAAAAAATTGAATTAAAATTTTCCTAAAATTAAAATTAAATTGAAAAAGAAAAAAATTAAAATAAATAATAAAAAGTTGTTGCAAGAAGGAACAAGAAAAATTAATCAAAGAGAGTAAGGTCTTTGAAAGAGAGAAAAAATAATCTTATTCTCGATTCATAAAATTTTATTTAAATTAAATCTGATATAAAATTTCAAATTAAAATACTTATTTCGCCAAATGAATCGTAAAAAAGGAAACGTTTTGTAATAAAAAGAATTTCGACCTTTCTACAGGGTTTTTACTTGATAGGCGATAATTTCATCATTTTCTCCCTCATTAACTTTCAATCATAATATTTTCCCTCTTCATCCAAACAATTAATTCCTAATTGACTCACTTTTTTCCACCAAAAAAACAAACAAACAAATTAGATTATACAATTTTCCAGAGAATTTTTTTATTTTAAAAATGAAAAATAATAACAATAATATTGTAGGAATAAAATATTTTTTATTAAAAATTTATAAAAAATTTATTTATTTATTTTATTTATAAAAAATTTATTAATTTATTTTATTTATAACAATTTAATAAAATTTATTAAAATTTAATATAATAAATAAAAATTTAATATAATAAATAAAAATTTAATATAATAAAAAAAACTAAAATTATTTGATAATAAATAAATATAAAATTTCTATCAATACGAAAACAAAATATTTTTTATCAAAAAATCCAAATATTTTTTAATAAAAGAAAATATTTTTAAATAAAAAATGGAAAATATTTTTTACTTAGAAGCAGGGAATTTTTTTTTTACTAAAAAATAATAGAAAATGTTTTTCAATAAAAAACAGAAAATATTTTTTTCTATGAAGATGAAAATTCTTTTTTAAATAAAAAATGAAAAAAATAATTTTCAATAAAAAAGTAGAAAGTATTTCTTTTCACTAAGTAGTTGAGAATTTTTTTTTGATAACAAATAGAAAATATTTTTGATTGAAAAATATTTTTAAAAAGAAAATGTGTTTGATTAAAAAATATTTTTAATAGAAAATATTTTTGATTAAAACATATTTTTAAATAGAAAATATTTTTTAATTGGAAAAAAACAAAAAAGAATTGAAGAAATTTTTTTTGTTTTGTATCCTAAGCAAACATTTTTTTTGAGGAATTTTTAATTTAAATTTCACTGTTATCCACAAAAAAAGATAATAAAAATAAAAGTTAGATGTTAACACGAGAATACATTGCTCTGATATTTTATTATATTCCCTACGCTTCCGAGTTTAATTTTCTCGCGAGAAGATGGAAAATCTTTTTCCACAATAATGTAAGTACGAAATACTTGAACGGAAATGATTTTGCACTGTAAAAATGTAATATGAATTCAATCGCAATTGGATTTTCAATTTATTTTCGTAAAAGTGAGAGTATACTTTTGTTGAATTTTTATTTATTTATATATTTAGAATGTAAATGAAATTAGAAAATTTTAAAGTTTCTTCTACTTTTGAATATTTTTTAATAAAAAAAAATTTTTTTTAACCATATTTTCAATTAAAAAATATTTTTTCAGTAAATAAATTTTTCATTTAAATATTGTTCTGTAATTATTTTATGATTCACTGTCATTTTTATTCAATAAATAAAAAATATTATTTATATTATTATATTATTATTATTAATATTAATATTAATTTTATTATTATTATTATTAATATTATTATTATTTTTTTAATTATTTACAATAATATTATTATCTACTTAATAATTTTTTTAAATTTATTTACCGGAATTTTCTAAACTATTATGTAATAATTCTTCTGTAATTATTTATTAAAAAATATTTTTTGTAATTAAAAAAAAAAAATATAATTCAAAAAATGGATAAAAAATGTTAATTCTTGTTTTTCAAAAGAAATTTTTTTTTCTATTTCAGATATTACGCCATAGTTCATCCAATGAGGGCGCAGTACATTTGCACTATAAGTCAAGCGAGGAAAATTGTCATTTTTGTCTGGTGCAGCTCATTCATTTTGGCAATACCAATGATTTTTATTCAGGTAATGAGAATGTTTTGATCCCAATTTTTTCCTTTGTTTTATATATACAGAGTGAGAGTATTTATTTGCAATGACACCTTTAAATAAGTCTTATATTAACTTTATTGTAGAAAAACCCTAAGAATAATTATGCTTCTACAATGAAAGAATATGAATCCAATTGTCGTGGTACCATTACAGTAATGGTACTTCTACAAGGGAATAATATTAATCCAGTTGTGGATACACCCTTATAGTAGTGGTACTTCTACAAGGAAGGAATACTAATTCAATTGTGGAGATACCCTTATAGTGATGGTACTTCTACCAAAGAACAATATTAATCCAATTGTGGATGCACCTTTATAGTAATTGTACTTCTATACTGAAAGAATATTAATCCAAATGTGGAGGTACCATTACAGTAATGGTACTTCTACAAAGGAATAATATTAATCCAGTTGTGGATGTACCCTTATAGTAGTGATACTTCTATTAATTCAATTGTGGAGATACCCCTATAGTGATGGTACATCTACAAGAGAACAATATTAATCCAATTGTGGATGTACCTTTATAACAATCATACTTCTACAATGAAAGAATATTAATCCAATTGTGGAGGTACCATTAGAGTATTGGTACTTTTTTTTTTTTTTTTTTATAATACAGTTGTGGATGCACCCGTATAATAGTGGTTAATAAAAAGATATTAATCCAATTGTGGAGGGACCATTAGAGTAATGGGGCTTCTACAAGGTAATAATATTAATTCAGTTGTGGATGCACCCTTATAGTCGCGGTACTTCTAAAAAGAAGGTATACTTATTCAATTGTGAAGATACCCTTATACTGATTGTACTTCTACAAGAGAACAATATTAATCCAATTGTGAAGGCACTCATAAGAGTGCCTTCACAATTGGATTAATAGCAATACTACTTCTACAGAAAAGGAATAGTATTCCAATTGTGGAGGTTCTATTATAGTAATAGTACTTCTACAATGGAATAATATTAATCCAGTTGTTGGTGCACCCTTATGGTAATGGTAATTCTACAAATAAAAACTCATATACCGTAACAGTATCATAACAGTAATGATACTTCTACAAGGGAATAATATTAATCCAGTTGTAAGTGCACCTTTATGGTAGTGGTACTTCTACAAAGAAAAACTTATGGTAGATCTACAATACTACAATATTAATTTCAGTTGAGAAATAACTTAAAAGTAATTTCTTTTAAATGTGTTTTCACTAATTACGACAATTACAAGCATAATAACTATTACACTTACAACACAATAATAGTGTTTCTACAATGCTTTTAGTGTTGTATCTTAAAATTAGTATTGTACTAAAACCCTAAAAGTAAGGGTGCTTCTACAATGAATTACTATTTTTTTTCAAATTTAAATTAGTGTTGTGTCCTTGTAAAATTACTGTTTAAAAAGAATCCTAAAAGCAGTGGTGTAATTACAATACTGCAACTTAAATTTCAGTCTAAAAACATTCAGAAGTTAATGGTTCTTCCACAACGGTACAATATTAACCTATTTGAAAAATTAGATTTTAATGACATGTATTTATTTACAATTTAATTACATTTTTAATTCCAGCATAGGATGATCCTTAAAAATAATGGTACTTCAACAATAGAATTAGTATTATATCCCTTGTAAATGATTGTTGTTTTAAAAACATAAAAGTAATAGTGCCTCAACAATAGTACAATATTAATTCCAGTGTAAAAGTACCCTAAAATAATGGTACTTCTACAATGGAATTATTGTCATACCGCTATATATTAATTAGTATTGTACCAAAACTCTTAAAGTAAAGGTGCTTCTACAATGGAATTGGTGTTTTATCATTTTTAAATTAATGTTTAATCCTTGTGAAATTAGTGTTACACTAAAAGCCAAAAATCAATGGTGTATCTAAAATAGTACATGTTTAATTCCAGTGAAGGAATATCCTTAAAGTAATGGCACTTCTACAATAGAATTAGTGTTATATCGTTTTTAAAAATTATTGTTGTATCGAAACTCAACAAAAAACAACAGCATTAGTAAAATATTAATTCCAGTGTCGAAGTACAAAGAAATTAATGGTAATTTTACAATGGAATAATTAGTGTCCTATCGTTGTAAAATTAGTTCTGTACCAAAACAATTATGATTCCTCAACAATGATATAATATTAATTCCAATGTTGAATAAAAAAAATTAAAAAATAAAAAACCATCAAAGTAATGGTGTGTTTACAATAGCACCATAATAATTCCGTTCCAAAAAAATGATAATGGTGCGTGCACATTGGTAAAACACTAATTTTACTTCTTTTACTGCAAAAAAAAAAACGTTAAAATAATGGTGCTTCCACAAGAGTTTAAGTTGAATTCATCTGTTAATTCAACAATTGTAATATTTTATATAATATTTTATATTATTATATTATATAATTAAATTTTAAATTATTAAATTTTAAATTATTAAATTTTAAATTATTAAATTTTAAATTATTAAATTTTAAATTATTAAATTTTAAATTATTATATTATAAGTATTCTAATATTATTACAGTATTTAATATTTCATATTAACATAATTTACATCAACTGCTTTTCCTTAAAATTATCTAATTTGCATTAACTATTTAATGTTTATAGAAAAGATGATTAGCTTATAGAATTTGCAATTGAGCGTGGAATTTAAAGCTCTCAATATTATTCACTCGGGCTAAAAGTTAGTTTCTTGGCAGTGAAAGATTATCCAACGTTCAAGCAGATCAAGTTTAGTTTTCCACTTAACCTAATTTCCTTTTAACATAAAGGGTGCTAAATAAAATGAGCGGTGATGGGCCGCCTTTGAAGGTTTGAAAGGAGAAGGTGTGGCAAAATAGTTGAAAAAAGAAAGAGAAAAACCAAAAACAAAAAAAAGTTGATGAATATAAACGCAATCAACACCTACAATATTACAAAACTTTGTCATTTTGTCTCGTGCAATCTCTCGACTATAATAATAACTTTTTAAAGTCAAAACTTTTATAAAATTAAAGTTGTCGAATGTAAAACCTTAAAAAAGTTAAAAAAATAAAAAAATAAATTAACAAAATAAAAGAAGTTGTCAAATGTAAAACCTTAAAAAAGTTTTTAAAAAAATAAAAAATAAATTAAAAAAAATAAAAGAAAATAAATAAAAAAATTAGGTAAACATTAATAAAAAATTAGGTAAAAATTAATAAAATAAATAAATAATTGACAAAATAAATAAAAAAAAACTAATAATTAAATAAGTGAAGAAATAAATAGATAATTAATTAATGAACAGTTATTATTATTTTTATTAGTTTTATTATTATTATTTTTTATTATTATTAATTATTTATTAATATTAATATTATTAATATTATTTTTCTTTCTTAATTTTATATTTTAATTATTATCTTTACCGAGCTCATTTTGTAATTATTATTTATTATATATTTATAAATAAAAAAACTTTTAAAAAACAATTAAGAAACAACTGATAAATAAATAAGTGAATAAATAAACAAAAAAAAGAATCAGTATAATATTTCAATAAGAATATGAAACGTATTAAAAAGAAAAAAAGGATAATAAACAAAGGAAGTGAAGAATAATTAATTTCCGGGCTTTGTGAATACAACTGTGAGGAGCTTCGCGATACTTTAATAACGGGTTTATAATTTTTTTCTATTCGTTTACTTTTGAATTTATTCTTATTTTTTTAATCCATAATATATAATTATTAACGGTTCAGAAAATTTTCTAATTTAAAAATATTGAATAATTATTGTTTAATAATTAATTGTGTCGTTTTTGCTATTTGTTAGTATTTTTAATTTTGTTAATTTTTTGTTGTTATTTTTGTACTATTTTCTACACTATTTCTATGGTTATTTTTGTTATTTTATTGATATTTCTGACATTGTTATTTTTCATTTATTTATAATTTTTTTTATTTAATATTTTAATTATTATTTTTACATAATTTATTTTTTTTAATTTGATTATTATTTTAAAAATAAATAAAAAATTATTGTTTTCTATGTTATTTTTGTTGTTGCCTTAGTTATTTTCATTGTTACTTTAAAAACAATCATATTTGCCTTTTTCTTGTTATTTTTAGAATCTTCTAATTATTTTTTTGTTGTTGATATTTTATGTGCATATTTCATTTATTAATTGTTAATTTTATCATTAATGCTGTTATTTTTGTTGCTCTTTTTTTTATTCTTTTTTCCTTGTTCACTGTAATTATTTTCTGTTTTTGTTATTGTTGTTTTGACACATTTTAATGGTTAATTATTAATTAATAATTTATTTATTATTTTGTTATTTTAGTATTATGTTATTTTATTATTTTCTTATTTTGTAATTTTTTATTTTGAAATTTTGTAATTTTACTATTTTCTTCTTTCGTTATTTTATTACATTGAAATATAACAAAATAGTAAATTAACATAATAACAAAATACAAAATAGCAAAATAACAAAATAACAAAATAACAAAATAACAAAATAATAAAATAATAAAATAATAAAATAATGAAACAACAATACGGCAAAATGGAAAAATAGCAAAATAGTAAAATATCAATGTAGTAAAATTGTCATTTTATTATTTTGTTTTTTTCATATTTTGTTACTTTGTAATTTTGTTAATTTGCTGTTTTCTTTTTTTGTTATTTTCATATTTTGTTATTTTATAATTTTGTTAATTTACGGTTTTCTTATTATTATATTATTTTCTTACTTTGCTACTTTGCTACTCTGTTTCTTTGTTATTTTGATATTTTGCTATTTTAATAATTTGAAATTAGGTTATTTTACTATTTTCTTAATAAAATTTTGTCATTTTATTACTTTGCTATTTTATTATATTGTCTTTTTGCCATTTTGCTATTTTCTGTTTTTGCCATTTTCTTATTTTCCAATTTTCTTATTTTCCCATTTCCTTATTTTAATATTTTTCTATAATTTTTTTTTCTAATATAACCCAAAAATAAAATTCCTTATTTAAAAAATAAAGGCAAAAAAAAAGAAAAACTTTCGAATATATTTTTTTTTTTTTGCTTTTTATTTTAATTTTGATTACTTTCTAAAAGAAAATGTTAAACATGAAAGATATATTTTCATTTTCTGAAGAAAACGAATAAGAAATATTTTCTCTTTTTTTAAATATATATATATAGAAGATTGCAACGAAAATCCCAAGTGTAACATTTCTGAAAATTTTATAGACTTCACTAGGAAAAGTCGTCTGTTGAATTTTCAATTTCTTTCTGAGAGAACATTTTAGTTATTAAATAATTTATACTTATAACATTGTTCTTAAACAATGTCTAAAATATCTCCTATGTAACTTCCTTTGCTCATACACCTCAGGAATGTTTTCACAAGCTTTAAAATCTTTAAAAAGTATAAGAATAGGGGAAAAAATCTTTTCTCTCTTTTTCAATTTAATTAACAAACTTTTTTTATTCATAAAATAAAATAAATATAATTCTTTTTAGTAAAATAAAATTTCGTTGACACTGCAAAAATAGAAAGCAAAAGAAAAAACTAAAATAAAATTTCTTTCCAATGTAATTTAAATTCGTTACAAGTTTTTTTTTATTTTAGAGGAAATTTCAATTTGGTCACTTGTTTTTATCTTTTTTTTGTGGTATCTATACATTTTTGACCATTTCTGCAAAGCAGCCAAACGATATTATCGTTCAATTTCCCTAGCGTGGAATTTCGATTGAGCAATTTTTACTCAAAGTTTCTCCCTCTCTCTCTTTCTCACTCTGTCTGTGGCTAACAGTTTCATTATATAGTTGCATCCAATGTAGTTCAAACAACTTTGAAAACTCATTTATCTGCTCTCAATATTTACATCTAATTTACTAATTTTCTCTGAATTTTTTTCTTTAAATAAAAAAAGGAAATTTCAAAAAACAAATTTTTAATTAATTTATTTATTTATCTTGAAAATTTAAATATTTATTGACCAAAAAAAATTCACTTGTAAAAAAAATTTGCAAAGAATTTTCTTTCACTAATGATTCACAAGTTACGAACGAAAAAAAATCCTTTTTATCTTCAATAACAAAAAATTTACAAGAAAATTAAAAAATAATAAACAAAAAAAATTTTTCGATGACGATAATTTCTAAGGAAAACTATAGAAACTGAAAAAAATAATAATATTTAAAAGAAAATAATTTATTTATAATATTGATAATAATTTATTTTTCGAAATAAAGAAATAAAAGTAAATCGTGGCTGCGTGGTAACTCACATGCGTTGTGTCACCAAAGGTCTGGGGTTCGATTCCATATGTCTTACGAATTTATCATTTTTTCTTTTAGTTACAAAAATAAAAAATATCTATTAATATTTTTGTTATATTTAATTTATTACTAATTAATTATACAGATTTATAATATTATTATTTATTTATTTAGATAAATAAATTATCATTTTTTTATTATTTACTATTTTTTCATTACTTTCATTATTTATTAACATTATTATTGTTAATTATTATTTATTTCTATTTTTTTTATAACTAAAAGAAGAAATGAAAAATCCGCACCTTATATGGAATCGAACCCTAGACCTTCGGTGTCACAACGCATGTAAGTTACCACGCAGCCACATTGACTCAATTTTTTTATTTTACTTTTACTTATTTATTTCGAAAAATAAATTATTATTATCAATATTACAAATAAATTCTTATTTTAAATATTAAGTAAATAATAATTAAAAAAATAATGAAAATAATAATAAAAATAATAATGAATACTGAAAGCAATAGAGAAATAATAAATAATAAATAAAATAATAATTTACTCTTGTTAATATTTAAAAAAAATAATAGGAGTAAATAATAATAATAATAATAATAATAATCTAAATTAATAATAACAATAAAAAAAATAATAAAAAATACTCGAGGAAATAGAAAATAGTAAATAATAATAAATAATAATAAAAAAAAAAAATTTGATAAACGTTGTTAATTAAAATTCGTCTTCAAATGTATACAAAAATATTTTTAAAAAAAATTCTATTGAAAACAAATTTATTTTATGAGATACATTCAAATAGAAATGTTTTCTTCTTATTCTTCTATTTTTTCTAGGAAATAAAAAGAAGAAAAATTTGTCAAAAGAAGATAATAAATAACCAACAATATTATGTCTAATGTATAAAAAAGTGTATTTTATCCTCATGCAGACATTGAAAAATTTTTCATTTCTTTCATATGTGTATACACATTTTTTTCACCCTTCATTCCTTTTTGCTTGCAGATCCATAAAGAAGTGGGTATATATGTAAAAGCATATCACTGTAAAAGGGACTTCAATTCCGTTACTTTATGGCGAACTCATGAACTTTACATGCTTTTACTGGTATTAGTGATACCTCTTATAATAATGGCATTTTGCTACACTGCAATTTGTTGGGAAATATGGCGTGTAATGAAAAAACGATATCACATGACATCCAGACACGCGTAAGTTATCATAAATTAATTTACAAAAAAAAAAATGAAAAAGAAGTAGACAAATTAAATTATAATTAAAAATTAAAAAAAGTTTTGAAAAAAAAATATTTTTTTTTTACTTTCAATATATAATTGAATATGAAAATATTTTATATATAAGAAAAGAATTTAATTTTTCTTCGATTTTGTGTATTATTTACTACATAATTTACCGACAGTTGGTAATGTAGATTTCTGTGATATTTTTGGTAGCATGAGTCGATAACGAAGGCACGAGAGAAAAGACATTTTTAAAAAGTAAATAAAAGAAATCTTATTGCTTTCCTGTGAAAATTTAAAGTATATTGTACCATCAGTTGATAATACAGATTCCTGTCACGTTTTCCAACCATCAGTCGATAATATAGACTATTAACATACAATTAAAGACAAAGGCGAAAAGTTTTATATAAACAATTCTCGTTCTCTCTGAAAAGTGGTAACTAATAGTGTACCATCAGTCGATAATACAGATTTCTACACTTTTATTTTACCACAAGATGGTTTCAAGTAATTTGTACTAATGTAGATTGTATAATGTAGATTCCTAACAAGCTTATTCTATCATCAGCTAAAAATGGAGATTTCTGTTAAGTTTATTGTATCATTAATCGGTAATGAAGATTCCTAATATATTATTGATGTTAGTATTATCGAGTCAGGAACCTGTATGGCAATAGGTAGGAAGTATGTATTAAAACTACCAGTCAATAAATAAGAGATCTACATTACCAACTGATGGTAAGTAGCCAGGTAAATGAAAAATCTACATTGTCAATTCTGGACATTATTTTATATTAACTTACATTTTATATCTGTTTTATCCTAATAGACAGAAAGGGCAGACTTTAAATATATGTTGATAATAAAGAGATCTACATTACCGACCGTCGATAAATATAAATATTATAACTATATGTCATTGTTTTTTTTTTAATAATTGTTTGATTATCTGGTTTTTGAACGCTAGTCGGTACTAGAGAAATCCACTTTATCGACTGCCGATAAATCGAGATATTTTAACTATTCGTCGTTGCTTTTTTCAAATACATATTTAAATATTTAAATATTTTCGACTGCTGATAAATTAAGATATTTTAATTGTTTTTGTTGATGATTTTTGAATAATTATTTGAATATTTGAACTTTGTACATTAGTGGACAATAAAGAAATCTATATTACCGACTGCTGATAAATCAAGATTTTTAAAATCTATTTTTGTTGATTTTTGAATAAGTAATTGTTTGTATTTCTGATTTTTGAACAACAGTCGGCACTAAAGATATCCACATTACCGACTGCAGATAAATCAAAACATTTCAACTTTTATTGTTTCAGTTTTTAAAGAAATAAATAAAATAAATGCCACATAACTTTTTTAATTAAATAGAAACAAAATAGATATAGAAATAAAGAATAGAAATAAAAAATCAATTATTATTAAAATTAGAATATTAATTAATATAAAATTAAGCAAAATGTAAGAAAATATCCCAAATATAATAAAAGTATTTTTTTTGAAAATTTGTTTAATAAATTGGAGAAGAGGGTTAAAATTTAAGAAGTATATTCGTATATCTTCAAGTACTGCTCGATAGTGTACCAATAAATTCTATTTTAAGTAACGTCTTGTTTGAAAGTCTTAATTGAAAGATATAATTTAAACACAGATTTATATACACACACTGATAAACATGCAGCTTTTTCAAAGTCTTTTTTTGTTTTTGAAAAGGGTACATCCCAAAAATTAATGCCTACTTATAAATCTAGTCTAGATATGTTGATACAATTTTTGTTTGGATTCACCAATGAAATATTTATAACATTAAAATTAACTTGCGGTCCTATTTTGTGTGTTATACTTTCTATTTTTGTATATTATTTGTTTACAGCAGTTGAAAAAGTTTGATAATAAATCAATATGCATTTTAAGACAAGAGGCGTTTCATGATTTATTTTTCACATTTTTCTTTATTCAAAGCATTGGATATTTAAAAACAGGGGAAAAAGAAGAAAAAAAAAATGTTCAACGTGTGTGATGAAAAATTTTTTTTTCCAAAAATAAAACTATATACGTAAAAAGAAGAAGAAGAAAAATTACAACACACTGTTTTGTATATACGATCGATTAATTTTATAACTGTCAACGAGGTAAAAGAAAATTTTGTTTGCCTTCGATTCTTAAAAAAAAATTAATTTTCACAATATTTTGTTTTTTATTTTTGTTAACAATGGTTTAAAATTATTTTTAAAAGTTTGTTCTATAAATTTGTTAGTTTTTATACAAGTGAACTAAAATAATATAAGTTTATAATTAAGGTTAAAATTATAATCATAATAAACATAGCAATAACAATAGTGACAATATTAACAAAAGAAAAAAAATAACAAAATTAAAAATATTAATAACAAAAACAAAAATAACAATAACACAAAAAATAAAAATTGCGAAACAAATAATAACATTAACAACAAAACACAAATAACAACAGTGCTATCAGAATAATGTTTCAAATAAACAATATTAACAACAATGATAAATTTAATAAACTTTTCTACCACTCTATACAACAATAACCAAAATGATAAATTTTGATATTTTTCTTTTTTTCAAAAATCCATCAATTATAATAAATGTCAAAAATTTTCAGAGCCGGAAAAACTGAGACGTCATGTAATATTTTCCAAAATGTCTCTTTTAAAGTTAATTAAGATAATCATTATAATTTAATTCCCAAGATTGAAACTAGTGATTGGAAGAAAGTTAAAGCGAAAGGACAGTAACCGTGCCGTGAAAATTTAGATCACTGTCGCAAGTCGGAAATAATGTTTCCAAGAGAATTTAAATATAGAAATGAGTGTTTGTAATCGCCCAGAAAGACACACTCTAAACTGGCAAAAGATGTGTCTAGTTTAAATAACAACTATCATTTATATTTTTATTAATTGACGAAACACAAAATAATTTATCACAAAAACACTTCAATTGTCGCCAACAAAAATAAAAGAGAATTTTTTTTCAATTTCACTTCTTTTTCCTTTAAATATCGAATTTTTTTTGCACAAAAAGCAAAAAATTATTAAAAATAGAATTAAATTCACAAATATGAATTTTATTCGAAAATTAGGAGAAATAAAACTTATCGATTGTAGGTAAGGTAGAAAACTTCATTATTCGCAGTCGGTAATGAAGAAAATGACTAACAATGTCGTTTTTAAAAGAAACTTAAATCGACATTTAAATTAAATTCAATACAAAATTTGAACTTAAAAATATATTTATAATTATCGATTGTAAGTAAAGTAGAAAATTTATATTTTGCTGTCGGTAATACAGAAAAGGATTATCAATTTCGAACTTTAGAGAAACTAAGATCTATGGAATAAAACATACAAGTATGAATTTTATCGAAAAAGTAATTAAGTTTATCGATTGTAGGTAAAGTAGAAAACTTGATTATTCGCCGTCGGTAATGAAGAAAATTACTAACAATGTCTATACTTGCAGTCGGCAATGAATGAAATGACAACGATAATTATAAATTATGTAGAATTGTCCGTTTCATTTCTATAATTACCATTATCATTCTCTTCTATACCGACTGTGAAAGAACAAATTTTCATATTTATCGACAATCGATAAATTCAATTACAACTTCTTTGGGACCATTCAAGTATTACGTAAGCATATTTTTCAGGTTTTTAGCCCCCCCACCCTCTCCCCATGTAAGTTTTTTTATATGCATTAGCGCCATTTTTTCTAATGGAAATAAGCAATAGCTAGACCCCCCCTCCCCCTTAAATGCTTACGTAATACTTGAATGGTCCCTATTTTAAGATCTCATTTAATTATTTTCTTTTCCAAAACTCACAATTTTTAACTTTCTGCATCAAAAAACAAAAAGCCTTTAATAAACTAACAAAAAAGATTGACGACAAATAAAAAAAATTATTTTTACACGATAAAATAAATACACTTCATAGAATACTATGAAAGAGAGAAAAATTCATTTTCATCACGTTATTCATTGAGTGAAAATAAAACTTTGAAATTTTATTTTTATATTTTATTAAAATATACAATTTTTTTTTATTTTTGAAAACATACGACTGTCCATCAATTTTACTGAGGCGTGTGCTTTATTTAAATATTTAGATAGTCACGTGTAGAAACCCCGGACACATAAAATAGAGCTTGGACTTCCGTCTGAATATCGATAATCCACTTTGACCACATTCAAAAAGTTTCAATGTAATTTATATTCGTGTAAAATAGGATCTCCGATACTATTTCCTATCGGCTAGCTCACGAGTATAATTCAGAGAAAATAAAAAAAATTTTCTCTAAATATCAATTTGAATGCAAGAAAAAAATAAAAGAAAAGGTTTTTTATTTCATTATCGACGGTTGATAATTAGAATTTCTAAAGTACCGACATTAAAAAGTAAATTATGTACTTAGAAAATAAATTAAAGGTGTATTTAACTGGTAAATTCTAGTATTTACTGATTATAATTATCTGTATTACCGACAGTCGATAAAAACAATGTTTGCTTTATTGACAGTAGGTATATGCTACGCTATCGATAATCTTTAAACTTAAGGTTAAATTGATCGGTAAAATGTAACATCGCCATTGTCAACTCTCGATTAATTATAAATTCTTCACTGTCAATTCAGGTCAATAATGATAATTTCTATATTATCGACAGTCAGTAAAGAAAAAAAACTACATTGTCAAATATCGGTACATTCTAACTCTTTTATTGTTAATTATCACTATTCTTACTATCAGTTGACAAATATAATTCCTACCTTGCCAACAGTCGATTATACAAGTTCTGTATTACCAACAATCGACAAACAAAAACTCTACATTATCAAATGAAATTTTATAAAGCGGTATTATATTTCTTGTCCTTGTCGATAAATGTAGATTTTATACTTTACCCACAGTCAATAAGTTTGATTTTCTGTTTTACCAACAGTCGATAAATATAAAATCTACATTTCCAACTTGTTTTAATAGATATTAAAACAAATTATGTTAGACTTATATGATTATAGTCGATAAATGTAGTTTTCTACTTTACCCACAGTCAATATGTTTGATTTTCTGTTTTACCAACAGTCGATAAATATAAAATCTACATTTTCAACTTGTTTTTTAATAGATTACAATACAAATTATGTTTGATTTATTTATTTTTATATTTAATAAATTTGATAAATATTTAATTCTAAAATTAAAAACAGAATTTTTTTCATGTTTTCCCAGATTAAGTCCAAATAATATAGGGACTGAGTGCATTCCAATGACAAACAGACAAAGTACAATTCGCAATGGACGCCGTACTCGTCGGGAGAATGGACAAACTCAAGAAGAATCGCGTACCATGAAACAGGTTTGAAGCATTTTTTTAAATAGAAACATTTACCATGTGTCGATAAAGTAGAAATTAAACTCAACCAACGGTCGATAAAGTAGAAAATCATTAAAATTGTTTTTTCTAGGTAGTAAAAATGCTTGTTGCTGTTGTGGTGTTATTCGCTATTTGTTGGAGTCCAATGCTCATTGACAATGTTCTCACTGCTTATGGAATTTTTCCAAAGCAAAAACATAGTCACTTTAAACATATGAATACTGCCTTTCAATTAATGGCGTATTTAAACAGGTGAGTTGGTATTTTTACTCATAAATTTTTTTCTATATTGAAAAAATATAAATAAATACTGTAAAAAAAATTTTTTTTTGTTATAACATTTTTTATTATTTTCCTAATAAAATGGCCTATTTACACCATTTTATTAAAAAAAAATTGTATTATAAAAAATAATAATTAATATTTCAATTTCAATAGAAAAAATAAAAATAATAAAAATGATAATAAAAATAATAATAAAATTAATAATAAAATTATGTAATTCCTAAAGAAAATATAAAAAATATTCTCAATTTCAAATGCAAAAAAAAATGCAATAAAGAGAGAATTCTCAATTACTTTTATCTGATATCTTACTTCGCTGGTGGCACTGATTGACATTTAAATTGTTGCAAGCATAATTGAAAAAATGTCAATTCCTCAAGAGTTAATGATGTGAAAAAAAGAGAATCACTTTTAATCTCTTTCTCTTTCACACTTCATTTTATATTACACTCCAAAGCTGAGTGACAACAATGTCAGAATAACAAAAAGGAATAAAAAAATAACTCAAGAAGCTGAAGCGATTTTTTCTAGTAAACATAAAAAAAATTATAACAACAATTTCCGTGAACTTATTACCGACTGTCAATAAATTAGATATTTAATTTATTGGCAGTCGGTAATAATATTTTATTGATTATAGAGAGAAAATTGAGGAAAAAAGTATATATTTAACTGTCGATAATTCAATTTTTGATAAATGTCGATTAATAAACTTTAAAACTGGATAATAAACACATAAGATAAATGTCGATAAAGAAATTATCTGACACTGTCGGTAAAGAAATTTTCTCGAATATCGACAAACAAAAATACTAAAACTATTGATAAAGATTCCTAATATAACTGTCGGTAATGAAATCTTTTTCATAGCTACCGACAAGGCAACTGTAAATCTATCGATAAAGAAGCTTAATAAAACTGTCGATAAAGAAACTTTTTATAAATACGGATAAAAAAACCTTTTTGAAACTATTTTTATATAAACATTTAGTTTTGTTTTTACAGTCTAATGACTAATTTAATGAAATATATTTGTATAAAATAGAAAAACGGATAAGTAAATTTTCTCTATTATCGACAGCCAATAAAATAGATACCTAATTTACTGGCAGTCGATAAGAACATTTCCTGCTTTCTAACAGTTTAACGAGTAATTTAATAAAAAGAGGTTGTTTTAAATTAGAAAACGGATAAGTAAATTTTCTCTATTACCGACAGCCAATAAAATAGTTCCCTACTTTACTGGCAGTCGGTAATAAAATTTCCTGCTTTGTCGATAATTTATTACTAAATACTATTGTCACGTGACTTCTTACCAATTATTTCGACCTTTCTGGCCACCCTTTTTTCTGTTTCAGCTGTATAAATCCAATAATCTATGGCTTCATGTCCAAACACTTTAGGGAGAGTTTTTTATCGGCAGCACGTGGTGGATTATGGCGTATTTGTTCAAGAAGAGGATACCCGAACGCCGTTAAAAGACATGCCAGTCTTAGCCAAACAAGAACAACCAGCGTTCGGTAAGAGTTTAGTTAAAAAAATTATTTTCTTCTTTTATTCGTCACTGCGCATGCGTCCAACTAAACGTGAAAATTGCGCGGCTTTATTTGAATATTATTTTTTGAATATAAAACTTTTTTTTCATTTTTCTACAAAAAAAAAATTAATTTCAATTGCAATTTAAATATTAAATGTTGGTAAAAATATAAAAACAAATATTTTAAAAAACTTTTTTTTTGGAAAAAAAATAATTTTTTTACTGTCATTAAAAAATAATTAATTTCTCTACTTGTAAAAATATTTTTAATATTCAATAGTTTTTAATATTAAAATATTTTAATTGAAAATTAAAATTATAAAAAAATATTATTTTCTATTTTGTTAAAAATACAATAATAATTTTCTTAATCTTTGTTTAGATAAAAAAAACATTTAATTTTTTTAATTTTTGTTTTTGTTAAAAATACAATAATTCATTTTTTAATTTTTCGTTTCATTAAAAATACAATAATTTAGTTTTCAATTTGTTTTGCTAAAAATACAATTATAAAGTATTTTATTTATTTTTTCTTTCCGTTAATAATTTAGACAATTTTTTTATGAAATTTCATTTTAATGAAAATAAAAAAAAAAAATTTAATTATTTCAATCAGAAAATTTGTGTATAAATTATTTTTAAAAAACAATTTTTTGCTCTGCTATGAAATTAAAAAGAAAAAAAAATTTAACTCTACATTTTTTTGAAATTATTTTTAATTAAAAAAAATTTCTTTTCACTTTCCCTTTAAATGAAGGTAATTTTTCTTCTTTATAAAAAAGAAATCTTATTTCTTGCGTGGTTTAATGTGCAACCGTGAAAATATCAACTTTAATTAACTTCTCGCAATTAAAGTTTTGTTGGACACTTAAAATTACTTCATCTTCAAAAAGTCGAGTTTCATTTTCGTTTTTTCTTTTTAATTTCTTTTTTTTCGAAAAGTTAAACATTATTTTCAAAATGTAAAAAAAAAAATTTTTATAGTTTTAGAACATTTTATTGATGTAATTAACGATATTATTTAATTAAAAGGTAATTAAATTAATTTTTTCGTTTTACTTTTATTTTCAATTTCATATCAATTTTTATTTTATTATTAAAAAATTCATTTTTATTAAGTTTTCTTTTCTTTTTGTTCTTTTGGTGTAATTAAAAATTTTTATTTCTCTTGCATTTTTTACAGTGTTCCTTCGACGACGATTATTAGTACTTAATTATGATAATAGTTAAAAAAAATGGAAGTGTAAGTAATTTTTCTTTATTATCATTTTTTTCAAATTTTGAAAATATTAATTTTTTTAGAATAGAATCTTTTGTGTTATTTAATTATTAATTACATTTTTAATTATTAATTTTGTTTTTAATTATAATTTTAGATGGACCTGAACTATTGGTTCGTCATTCCGAGTTCATTATGGGAAAATATGCAGAAGAGGTAATAATAAAAGTAATTAATTAAAAATATTCAAAAAGTAATTACTTTCGTTATGTGAAAAAAAATCTAATCAAATTTTAATTTCTCATTATTAATTTTGAAAGAAAGAGTATTAAAATTAAATTAAATTAAATTAAATTAAATTAAATTAAATTAAATTTAATTTAATTTAATTTAATTCAATTTAATTAAAATTTAAAAATAATTTAGGATTTTCTATGAATTAACTTTTGATTTTATTTCTAATTAGTCAATTAATGATTAACTAATTAATTTATGTTGAATACTCTTCAATTTAATCCGTTAATTAATGAATTATTTCATTTAATTAATTAGTTTATTATTATTATGGTTATTAATTGTTAAATAGTTTATTAGTTAATTAGTTTATTATTATTATTATTATGGTTCTTAATTGTTAATTAGTTAATTATTATTATGGTTATTAATTAGTTAATTAATTAGGTTCCTAATTAATTTATTGGTTAATTAAGTGGATAATATTAATTGTTAATTACTTAATTCATTAATTAATTGTTTAGTTAATTAGTTAATTTGATACTGAATTTGTTAATTAGTTAATTATTTAATAAATTACGTTACTAACTAATTTATTGACTAATTAGTTAAAGAATTAGTAAATTGAATAATTAAACATATATTTAATTAGATAATTAACTAATTAATTATTTAGTTAATAAAGTGAAGTAGTTAATTAATTATTTAGATATTTAGTTAATAAGTTAATTAATTAATTAATTAATTAATTAATTAATTAATTAATTAATTTGGTTACTAAAAAAATTTATTTGTTAATTAACTAAATAATTTATTTTTTAAAATTTAGTTAATGAAAAATTCTTTAAATATTTATTTAAAGAATAATTCTTTAAATAATTTGTTAATGAATTAGTGAATTAACTAATTAATAAAATATTTAATTAGTTAATTAACGAATTAAATATCTAATTAAAGTAATTAATTAGTTTACTAATTACTTAATTTTATTAGACAATTAATTAGCTAAAAATGAATTAAATACATAATTATTTGTTTACACAGTAAACAATATATGTTTTTCATTAAGCAGAATTTGTTAGTTAATTTATTTTTGCAATTTAAAAAATATATAAAAAAAATTATTAGAAATTTATTTTTTCAATTATTTTTTTTTCCAGAGAGGAAGAATAACTCGAAGCTCTCCTTCATTTAACAATAATTCTCGATTTTTTCCTATACGTATATTCACAAAAAAAAGTCAAAGGATAAACCCAGAGAAAGATACGGAAAAATTTTTTTTTTGTACAAATAAAAACTCGTATATATTAATAAAAAGAAATCGAAATTCTATATAAATATATATCTAGATGTAATTTCCCATCTCTGAAATCAAATATACAAAGAGGACATTTTTCAATGAAACGTCATAGTACTTTGATTTCGAGCAAAAAAAAAATAAATAAATGGGAAATATTATATAAAAATTAAGGAAAAATAAAAAAAAAAGGGGGAAACTTGATCGCTGTATTAAAATAATAAAAAATTTTAAAAAATCTTTTTAGGAAAAATTAAAATATTAAAAAATTAATAAGCAATTAAATGGCTCTATAAATGAGAAGAAAATTATATTTCTGCCTTTAATCGCTTAGTAAATAAAAATAATAAATTTCTCGCCATACTGAGAGAGTATACACGTAAAAAGAAGAAAGAAAAATCTCGGAGAGCATATTTTTTTCTCAGAATTTTATTCCTTCGTTCATTTTTAACAAAAGTAATTTCCAAATTCCAAAAATCGTAAGTGGGACAAAATGTCAACTTGCTGATTAAAAAGGAAAAACAGCAAACAAAAACCTAGAATTTTGGGACAGCATTTTATGATGTCCGAAGATTGGACAACATTTTTTCTTAACATTGCTCTCTCAAAAAACATGCAAAAAAAAAAGAAACGACCCACAACTTTTAAGACTATTTTTATTTTCGAAAATATTTTATTAGGGAACAAAATTTTCTCATCAATATGCTCTCCCAGAGAACAAAGTAAAATAACTGTTCTAGAATTTGACTTTTTAATTGTTGTTTTTAATAATTCGCTAAAAATTACAAGTGGGACAAAATTTCGTCTCTCCCAAATAAAAGAGTAAAAGGAATTGTCACAGAATTTTTGGGACAGCATTTTTAATTGCTAGAAATTGAACAAGGAACAAATTTTTCTTTTAATAGTGCTCTACTAATGAACTCAACAAGAAATAAACATTTTCACATTTTCTCAGATCACTATTATAATAACTTCAAAAATAAATTGCATTGGGGGACAAATTTTCGACATCAATGTTCTCACCCAGAGAACCGAGCAAAAGAACTGTCCCAGAATCTTTAACCTTGCACTTTTGTAACAATAGTACTTTTGTAATACGACGGAAAAATTTCGTTTCAAAGTTGCTCTCCCAGAGAAACGAAGAAAAAGAACTGTCCCAGAAATTTTGTAACAAAAATCACTAAATGAAAAATATTCTTTTTCATCTTTTGTATAACTAAAAAAGTTTTTAATCGAAAAATGCAACATACAAGAAAGTTACTCTCCCAGAAAAATGGAGAAAAAGAACTGTCCCAGAATATTTGGGACAAGCATCATTAAAAGAAAAATATTCTTTTTCATCTTTTGTATAACTAAAAAAAATTTAAATCGAAAAATCCAACATACAAGCAAGTTGCTCTCCCAAAAAAACGGAGAAAAAGAACTGTCCCAGAATTTTTGGGAGAGCAGCACTAAAATAAAAATATTCTTTTTCATCTTTTGTATAACTAAAAAAAATTTTTAATCGAAAAATGCAACATACAAGCAAGTTGCTCGCCCAAAAACGGAGAGAAAGAACTGTCCCAGAAATTTTGTAACAAAAATCACTAAATGAAAAATATTCTTTTTCATCTTTTGTATAACTAAAAAAAATTTTTAATCGAAAAATGCAACATACAAGCAAGTTGCTCGCCCAAAAACGGAGAGAAAGAACTGTCCCAGAAATTTTGTAACAAAAATCACTAAATGAAAAATATTCTTTTTCATCTTTTGTATAACTAAAAAAAATTTAAATCGAAAAATCCAACATACAAGCAAGTTGCTCTCCCAAAAAAACGGAGAAAAAGAACTGTCCCAGAATTTTTGGGAGAGCAGCACTAAAATAAAAATATTCTTTTTCATCTTTTGTATAACTAAAAAAAATTTTTAATCGAAAAATGCAACATACAAGCAAGTTGCTCGCCCAAAAACGGAGAGAAAGAACTGTCCCAGAAATTTTGTAACAAAAATCACTAAATGAAAAATATTCTTTTTCATCTTTTGTATAACTAAAAAAGTTTTTAATCGAAAAATGCAACATACAAGAAAGTTACTCTCCTAGAAAAATGGAGAAAAAGAACTGTCCCAGAATATTTGGGACAAGCATCATTAAAAGAAAAATATTCTTTTTCATCTTTTGTATAACTAAAAAAAATTTAAATCGAAAAATCCAACATACAAGCAAGTTGCTCTCCCAAAAAAACGGAGAAAAAGAACTGTCCCAGAATTTTTGGGAGAGCAGCACTAAAATAAAAATATTCTTTTTCATCTTTTGTATAACTAAAAAAAATTTAAATCGAAAAATCCAACATACAAGCAAGTTGCTCTCCCAAAAAAACGGAGAAAAAGAACTGTCCCAGAATTTTTGGAAGAGCAGCACTAAAATAAAAATATTCTTTTTCATCTTTTGTATAACTAAAAAAAATTTTTAATCGAAAAATGCAACATACAAGCAAGTTGCTCGCCCAAAAACGGAGAGAAAGAACTGTCCCAGAATTTTGGGAGAGCATAACTAAAATAAAAATATTCTTTTTTTTATCTTTTTTGTATGATTAAAAAATTTTAATCGGAAAGTGCAACATAGCAACTGCTCTCCCAGACTGGGACAACTAATTTCAAACCTCAAGGATGAAAAATACCAAATTTTTACGCGTGTGCTCTCTCAATTTTTACAGTTACTATTAAATAGTTATAAAATTTAAATTTTAAGCTCTATCAAATGTTTGATGTTGAAATTGTTTATTAATATTTAAGTAAAAAAAAAAACTTATAATAATTGCGAAAAATAAGAATGAATGTTGTAAAATAAATAATCACAATAAGTTTTTCTCTCCTACTTAAAAAAAAAGAACTTTATATAAATTTTGTAAAAATTAATTACTACGACTTTTCGTTGAAATTTATCAAAATTATTAATATTAGTTAGTGAATAAATAATGTTTTCTTATGGAAAATACGAAAAAAAAATTAGTTTTAATATTTAGGTACAAAATAAAAGTATATATATATATATATATAATTGTTAAAAAAAAAGATTTTGCATTTTGTAATTTTTATTATAGACTATTAATTATTACAGGATATTTAAAATATTTATTTATTTATTTATTATTAATTATTAATATTACAAAATGTAAAATCATTTTTTTTTCATAAGCGAATGAATTTTAATTCTTCCGTTCATTTTGTTTTTCGATAAAAATACAGAATGGCCGTGTGTAAAAAAATAAATCTCTCTCGAGCCTGCCAAAAAAAAAAATTGTACACGGAATGTGTGTTTGTGTGCGAGAGTGTGAAGCGGGTAATTTATTCAAAACCAACTGAACCAAAAATGTGAAAATTTATAGAGATAAAGAGCGTGACATTTTTTTTATTTATGATTTTTATTTTAATACATATTGTTTCTCTTATCGTTAGTATTAATTTCACAATTATTAATTAATTCAACATTGTTTTAAAGAAAATAACATTATTTAAAAAAGAAAATATTTTCTCGCTTTTAAAAAGAAACCAAAAAAAAAAAAAAAAATATCCTAGTAATAATATTGTGAAATTTGGTGTTTATAAATGTTAACTTAAAATACAGGGACATCGAAATAAATAAATTTTTATTGCAAAGTTGAGATTTTTTACTGTGTTTTCCCCTACCTTCTTGAGTGCTCTCCCAAAAATTTTCAGCATTCGTTGAGATTTTATTTTTCCCTCTTTTACAATTCTTATAAATGTAGAAAAAAAATTTTCAGTGAAAATTCTTAAATACTGTCTGGGACAGCACTTAACTTTAGCAGCGCTTCTTGTTTTTTCACTATTTAGAATTTTCGTTCTGTTAAAAAAAGAGATCAAGTTTTCAACAAATATCTTACTTCCTGCTGTCCCAGAATTTTGCAAAAAAAATCCTTTTATATCTGGGACAGCACTTAAAAATTGTAGGAATGAACTTTGCGTTTTGTTTTTCACTATTTAGAAATCTCGTTATTCTAGAAAAGAGAAAATTTTTCGATAAATTCCTTGAAACTCTCCTGTCCCAGAACTTTGCAACAATTTTTTTATATCTGGGACAGCACTTAAATACTTTGTGTAGCGCTTCTTGTTCTTATTTTTCACTATTTAGAATGTTCTTCATTAAAAAAAAGAAAACAAATAAATGCATTTGTTAAATTTATGCTGTCCCAGAATTTTGCAAAAAGTCGTTTTATATCTGGGACAGCACTTAAAACTGTTAGTAGCACTCATTATTTTTATTTTTTACTATTTAGAATTCTCTTTATTATAGAAAAGAGAAAACAAAAGTTTCAATAAATTATTTAAATCTTTTCTGTCCCAGAAATTTTCAAAAAGGTTTTTTATATCTGGGACAGTACTTAAAAACTTTATTAACGCTCCTAATGTTTGTATTCTCTTCTATTTAGAATTCTCATTATTATAGAAAAGAGAGAACAAATTTTAAATTTGTAATTAAAGTAAATTCTTTAAATCTCTGTTGTCCCAGAATTTTGCAGAAAGTTATTTTATATCTGGGACAACACTAAAAAACTTTTTCACCGCTTCTTATGTTTTTCTATTCCACTATTTCAAATGCAACAAATTTTAAATTTGTAATTAAAGTAAATTCTTTAAATCTCTGTTGTCCCAGAATTTTGCAGAAAGTTATTTTGTATTTTGTACAGCACTTAAAACTGTTAGTAGCACTCATTATTTTTATTTTTTACTATTTAGAATTCTCTTTATTATAGAAAAGAGAAAACAAAAGTTTCAATAAATTATTTAAATCTTTTCTGTCCCAGAAATTTTCAAAAAGGTTTTTTATATCTGGGACAGTACTTAAAAACTTTATTAACGCTCCTAATGTTTGTATTCTCTTCTATTTAGAATTCTCATTATTATAGAAAAGAGAGAACAAATTTTAAATTTGTAATTAAAGTAAATTCTTTAAATCTCTGTTGTCCCAGAATTTTGCAGAAAGTTATTTTATATCTGGGACAACACTAAAAAACTTTTTCACCGCTTCTTATGTTTTTCTATTCCACTATTTCAAATGCAACAAATTTTAAATTTGTAATTAAAGTAAATTCTTTAAATCTCTGTTGTCCCAGAATTTTGCAGAAAGTTATTTTATATCTGGGACAACACTAAAAAACTTTTTCACCGCTTCTTATGTTTTTCTATTCCACTATTTCAAATGCAACAAATTTTAAATTTGTAATTAAAGTAAAT